GTTGATCCTATATTGCAAATGCTCCATTGTTTTCTTTCAAATATTGCATTGTTTTATAATATCACTATGGGATGGATACCTACTGCTACAGCCATGCTTTTGGATATCATGCTCCTTTGTTAGCTTGGGTTATAACATGATTAGACTTTGGACTAGGACTTGCTTAGCCATGCTTAGTTCAACTAGCACACATTGGGGATCTCATTTAAAACCTAGACTATAGGTTTATATGATAATGTTGGTTTAATACCACCGCTCTGGTGTTGGTTAAATAAAATGAACCACATGGTGGGCTGTGGGTGCACGGTTTTGCTAGTCGCACCCATGGCAGTTAAGGACCGGTTCGCGGGATGCCCTGGAAGAATTTATCGTACTTACCACAAGCCAGCGTGGGCAACGGCTGGGCTTGTAGTGTAGCTTTCCTCTAGTCGACGCATCCAGGCAAGGGTGGGCGTGATGGAGCGGGGCGGGCCCTGCGACGGCCTCTGTCGCTTCCGGATTCACCTAGGCACGAGAGGGGACTGCCCGTCGCCCGCTGGGGACGGGGGTGAAACCTGAGGTGTGGTGTGCTTGGCTAGAGGGGGTTATGCGAAGGGTCCTGTCACGGCCTCTTTCCGGTATGTCGTGGTGGCATGTCGGCGCACGGAAACGTGTCGTGGGGCTGTGTCTTGTGGGTACAGTTGTACACCTCTGATCAGAGTAAAACTATTCGAATAGCCGTGCCCGCGGTTATGGGCGGTCAACCAGATTCACCGTGATTAGTCTCACCCTAGTGTAATCTGTTGAACTTGGATAGTTTAGGTGGATGGTTGGGCCTGTCGCAACGTGGGTTAGCGTTGGACAGCGGATGTTTAATACTGCTTAATTATTACAACTGTTTTCGCATTAAATTCCTGTTTATAAATGCCAGTATTTATGCAAATGAACCACTCTAGCTCTTCTTTGTTAATTCCCTGCATCATACCCCTATTCCGGTATGACTTGCTGAGTACAGTGGGTAGTACTCAGTCTTGCTCTACTTTTCCCAACCCCAGAGGACGGGTATGTGTCAGATGAAGGTTTCTCCGAGGAGTAGGCTTCGTCCGTGCCGTCGAGGATGCCTGTGGAGTGGTGTTCCCGCTGCCGTTCAAGTCAAGGCTTAGCTCCAGTTTCTTTTGTTTTTCCGCTGCATTTCTGTCAGACCTTTATAATGTTTGTAAGACGTGGATCTGTATGTCAACATTGTCGTTTGTGTACCCCGGCTGGTCCTGGACGGGGGTTTTAATACACATTCTGCTTGGAATTCTATTCGGGAATTTCTGGGCGTGACACCACGTCAGCGAAACCGCCCTCCAAAACCATCGAGGGAGTCAAATTGTACCAGTTTTAATAGTTGAGGGGTCGAGATATCCGGTATTGCGATTGAAGGATGCAAATTAGATTCGGTCACTAGTTAAGGGAGTCAAAGTGATCTTATTCCAAAACTTTAATAAGTACAACTTTTAAGAGGGGAGTTTGCTTCAATTAGGCTTTAGGCTCTAACCAATTAGGCCCGGCCCATGAAACATCAGTTCGAAAGGGCGCGCCAAATCTGGCGCTGACCGTGCTGCACTGCCCTGCACTCCTGAAAGGCAAAGCTTAATTTGGACGGTTCGTGTAAACCTGAACTGAACAGCTCTAGAACTGCTATACTTTGTGAGAAATATGATTGCACTTATAGAAATAAATGTAAGAGCTTTACTACAAGAAAATACTCCATCCAATTCTATTACTAGAATACAACCGGTATAAAACGTAACATAAAAGAGAAATATTATTAAGTAGTAAAGTAAACCATTTTCAATAATTTAGGAGGTAAAATGAGCTTAACAATAGTTTAGGATATCAAATCATCTAACTAATTAGTTTTGGGGAGTAAAATTGACGTTTTTCTATATGAAATACACACACTCTCTCTTTTATATTATAATTTATAAATCGTTTTGATTTTTTTCTAGTCCAACTTCTTAAAGTCTGACTAAATTTATAGAAAAGATTTAGCAACATCTACAACACTGAATTAGTTTTATTAAAACTAATATTTAATAGAGTTTGATAATATGTTTGTTTTGGGTTAGAAATGTTGTAATGTTTTTCTATATACTTAGTCAAACTTAAAAATGTTTGATCAAAGAAAAAAAATTCAAAATGACTTAAAGTATGAAGTACAATATTACAATTTATTTACACTTTTTAAACCAAAAGATTACAAGTGTCAAGGGAAATCGGCTACAGAGATCGTCTCAGTGATTTCAGTCAGCAGTACTCCCCCAATCTATTTTTGATGGACATATTTCCAAATCTAAAAAAATTATTTTTGATAAGCATATTTCAATCCAACAATCTATACTCTTAATGATTTTTTCGGATTTAATGCGTGACTCTCCATTCTTCCACACAATATTAGCTACATGGACATCGAGAAATGTAAATATTAATGTCACTTGTTTACGAGTAGCACATTTAAATAGATGATAATTAGAATTACTTATTCTTGATATGTGTGTAAAGATAAAATATAACTATTAAAAGTATATGGAGGGAGTAGTACATCAGCAGAGACTAACACGGTCAACTGATCAAGGCGGTACAGGCACACGTATAAACGTCTTTCTGACACGGTGGGGTCGGGGTGGGGCCCACGGGTCAGTGACTCCTGGGGTTTTCAAAGTTTCGCGAAGCCCTCTCGGTTCCCTCTCTTTTTATCCTCTTCGCCGTTGCGAGCTCGCCCCCCTCCTCCGCCTCTCCTCGCCGCCGCGTTCCACCTCTCTCTCTCTCTCTCTCTCTCTCTCTCTCGGAGTCGAGGGTTAGGGTTTCAGCCATCTGCGGCGTCTCCGGCGAGCGAGCGCGAGGGAGGCCGGAGCAGAAGCCGGCCGGGGCGCGCGTCCTGGTCCTCCCCGAGGACGCGGCGGTTTCGATCCCCTCTCTCTCGGGGTTGTCCGCTTCGCCGTCGGGAGAGAATCCGGCCGGAGCGCGAGCGTGAGGTGCGCCTCCTCCGCCGGCCCGAGGAAGCATGCTCTCGATCCCTCGGGTTGTTGGAGGAAGCGCGCGGCGGCGGCGCTTTCGATCCATCGGGTTCTCGATCTCCTTTCGCAGCCGGGCGGGCGCGGTGAATCTGCGGGTGAGTTGCCTTCTTTGCCCCCAACTAATGGAGATGAAACTCTTTCGCGATCAAATTCCTCTTCTTTTTCCTGGTTCTTGCGCGATTGTGCGTTCTTGACACCTTCTTCTTGGATGGATTTTTTTGCTCATGCGTATGCGTTGCAGGGACGGGGAACGAACGAGATCCTACTTCCTTGTAGTGCGATGGCGACGGAAAATTCTTCCCCTGCTTTTACGGACTTCTTGCCCCGTGCGCTCAGCCCGATTCCGTTTGGTCGGCGCCATTCGTGTGCGCGACATGTACGTGTTCTAATTCACCTCATCCTCTGCTTCTAGTTCTTCCCCCAATTGACGGTTTACCTCTGAATCTTGTGATTAGGCATCATATTTTTTTTCCGCCCGATCAACTGTTAGAAACTATTGGATTCCTGACTCCTGAGGTTTATTCCTCTAGTTACTGATCAAATAAATCGCACTAGTGGTTCTTTGATCCATATAATGCCGTATTTTAACGAATTTGTGTCATTTTGTCCCAATACAAAAGTTAGCTCTCATGTTTAATGGACTTCGTCCTTCTCAAAAAAATGTTTAACGAACTTCGTGCGTACTTATCTTTTGTGTTCTTTTCGTTCTGATGTATATGCTGTATACTTCAGTTGATAAAGTAAGTCACTATACAGGAAGTCAGGAACATCCTTGTGTCAATGTAGTTTGGATGGCTGTGTTCTTATCATTTTCAATTATTTACATTAAATGGTTGCTCAGTAAGATATTTCAAGCTTGGAATTTAAGTGCAATTGTGATCCCGGCCATTATTCACAAAGGAAATCCCGCATTTAGATTGCAGCCTTTCTGTTTCATTATGGATGCTTGTCTTACATGATTTCTTCATGTTATTGGTCATGTACTCATGTCGTCTTTCACATTTAGTCATGCATTCTTTCACACAAGAGCAGATGCTTTCTCTCAAACTGGAAAATGATTCCTAGTGTCAATATTGTTCTAGTTGAAAATTTACTCCTCAACAAAACTAGGGAGCAGGTTCAAATATAATGGTGTGTCCATACTGGATTGATTTACACAGTAGTGAATATTCACATGAAGTACAACAACATGATCAACATCATTTGAGTAAAAGAATGGCAAATATTCCCTTTCCATTTGGCACTTACTAGTTATCACATGGCATGCAGTTTAAATCATTTTTACCTTCCGGTTATGTACATTAGGCTAATTTGCATCTTTATGGAGAAATTATTTGCACACAGTTGATCTTAGTTGTTAACAAAACTGGTTCTGATATTTCTCTCTTTTTTATTTGAATGATTTATATTCTATGTGAATTGGGAGGTATATTCTTTCAAATGTCTTTGCTTCTTTACTGTTATGCGCATATTTGGCACTTTCTAAACTCTGGTGTCATGTTTAACGGTTGGATTCCTGGATGCAACAGGGGGACATAATGATGAATATTGATCAAGCTGAGGATTCATGCAGTAACATTAGTGGTGCTTCGAGATCTTCTCAGTCTCATACTGATCAAACTGAGGATTCAAAAGGTTAGTCTACGCAATGTAAATCACCAATGCTTTAGTTGTATGCCTTGCAGCACATACTGATGCACTCTATTAGGATTAGAGATGGAAGGACTGAAAATATGTTATTATGCTAATTGTGCTATGCTTCTGATAGGTATAGCTTCGTTTGGTCAAGTTCTTAGTTTCTTCATGTTGGTCTTCCGTATTTATGTTTAATGCATATTGTCATCCATGTTTTTGAAGGGCCCCCTCCTTTTCGGAGTTCTTGCTATGGTTATTCCATGAGTTACATTCAGTGCTCTCACATATAAATTACTGCATACTGTGTATATATTCAGGAAATGAACTATGTACTCGTGTCAAGGCTGTTACGGATGTATCATGTGGTAGTGAATTACAAGATACTTGTGAAGAAGAAGGCATCATATTATGGCCAGGTCTCAAGATGAGCTTTCCTCAAGCCCCTCTAGTCAGGATCCAGGACAATGAACTTGATTACGCGTACGTCGATGTTTCTGAAACTTCTATTGGCAATTCATTTTTCATTACACAGTTCAACCTTCCTTTGTCACTTCCTGTTTATGTTGTCCTCTGTCTATCATTTCCTGTGTATGCTGTTTAGCATAGATATGTCATGTACTCACCTTAAGTATTATATTTGTTGCAAAATTTCAGGCCCTCTCGAAATGCATGCAAACAACTGGCAGCTAATCCTGAGGCCCCTCTGTTTCGCCTGCCTCCTTTAGGATCCTATGAAAAAGAAATGTGCGGACCTGTATTGCTTATATGCAACGTCCATTCTCCTGGAATGAGTTGTTTCTCTCCATATACCAAGAGCACCTTCTACAGGGAGAATATGGAGATTGATATTGACGATGTGTTGTACTCCAATGGTAGCTGGTTCTTACTAAGGGAGGCAAATATAATCAGCCTTTGGAATGTTAACACAGAGAAGCGATGGTTTGTTGGCGAAGCTGAGGAGATTATTCATCAGGGATATTTTATCGGGAACCCACCATTCGATGTGACAATAGCTCTTGCGCGACAACATCCCCCAAAGCTCGGAGAAGAAGCTATAACTGCAATCTGGCTCAGATCGGTTAAGATTGGTGGCTGGAGCAAAGGGTCGGTGAGGTGTGATTATGAGCACAGCGGGTTGAATAGCCTCACCATTCATCAGGGCATGCTTTTTTGGTTAACTGACAGCGGTTCGTTGTGTTGTGCGAGGCAAACATCTGAGGGCTTAGAACTTATGATTTGGAACGGCTCAGTGAGAATATATGGGATGAACTTTTCACTGGTAAAGCATTTTGATGACCTATACATTGTGAACGGTGGCGGTTTTTTCCCAAATGAAGTAGCTAAATCATACCAAATCGTCGTTGGAGATGAGCTTCTTGTTGATGAAAAGAGGTTGAAGGGGAAAGACGTATTTACAGTCTCAAGACAAGGAGGTTTTGTACTCCCATCATCCGAAGCGGATAATGGCAAGTTATTCACTGGAAACATGATACCGGATGTCGACTGCTCTATGTAAGTATAACACCGCCTGATTACTTGATGCAAAATATTTTGATTGGATAAAATATACTTATAACATTTGAATGCTTATATTTCTCTGCAGGTACAGCTGGAAAAACAATCAAAATGAAATTATAAAGCCCTGCCACTTTCTTCGCCACGCTACCTGTAGCAGTGTTTGGGCTATGCTGCGTACCAAGAGGCGAACCTAGCAAAACTCCAGTAACTACCTTGTGAGTATCTTCTAGTTGTATTTGTTGACCTTGCTTCAATCGCAGCCATAGGAACTACCCAAGAGTTAGTAATTATATTGAGACTGCACATACTGTACTAGTGTACTTTAATTTTCTTAATTAGTTAATTATCAGAAAGCTAAACTGGACTACAGATGTTGATTCATGTCCATAATCATAAAATGCTTCTCTATTCTCATTGAGTTGATAAATTTTTTTGATGCATTTCCATATGAGGAAGTCCGGATACCTTTGAAACTAATTACTATATACTGTCTGATATCGTTCTCAATAAAATTCTGACACTGAATTCCTTTGATCAATACAGGTAGAGGCAACTCTTGCCAGCCTGTTCAATAAACCTGGGCCATGTTCTTTGCGCTTTATCCACTGCCAGTGCCTGTCGGCTGTCGCAATACTGCATGAATCAACTGTGAGATAACATTTGGAATAAGCTGTTTTTCCTGTTGGGCTACCACTTATCATGATTGGATGAATATGTGCTCTTCTAGTCCCGTACATATATGTCCTATACTGGATGATCTGTGCTTCATTCTATAGGTTGATACACTGTGATCTTCTGCAAAACATGCAGAGCAATGTAACTCTCACATACTGGATGATGTATACTGCTCGTTTTCTTTAGAGAATATATTTGAACAAAGTAAAACGGTTGCCAGTTGGATGTTCAATTTTATTCTGCCTCCTGACAACATAATTCTTTGTCAGTGAACCAGTTGCCACAGTTTTCCCCAAACTCGGATACTTTCTCGTGATAATTTTTAACATCTCTCTTCCTTTCCAAACTTTTTGAAGTATATGCATGGAAACCTTTTGATGATGAGAGTGTAAAGGCATTTATGTGATTTTTGGGAGGTACAAATGTAGATTTGAATATTGATGGTGGTTGGCTATGATTTTTGTGTTCACTTGAAAAGTGTGAACTTCAAGTTGAGAGTATAGTTTTTGAGCTGAAAGTCGGGGGAAATTCAAGATGTAAGCTCCCCCATTTTGTTGACAGATTGGAAAATTTGCTGTTCAAGGTTGAGAGTAAGATATCAAATCTCTAGTTGAAAGAGGATATATTTGCCTCAAAAGACATTGACCCACAGTTATAACTTGTAATTGAAATTATATGTAGCCATGTAGGCAGAGGATTTGGGATGGTGATGAAGAAACAAAGACAACAGTAATTACCCATGCTCAAATAATGAGTTTACAAAATAGCAATAGGAACAAAAACCATAAAGATTCACCACTGATCATTCTGTAACCAGTACAATTACAAAGCTGCTTACATGTATATACATGGTATGCCTCCATAAGATGTCAAAAGAAATGATAATGTTTCCTACAGAGAATTGCACAAATTCAAGACCTATAAGAACAAAAAGTAAAAGTAGAATCAAATTCAAGCCCACATGTCCAATATGTGGCACTATTTAGCTCAAGTAGCGAATGTACTAGGGAGAATCCAACGGTGCACTTCTGTAACGATTGATGCTGGTATCACTGTCTCAACAGTCTCATCAACTAAATCATATGCATAAATATTTGTGATGGACTTCAGTGTTGAAGGACCTAATGAACCAGTGAAGGTGGCCACCTCAGTTCCATTCACGATTGAGCCGGCACATTTATTTGGACCAAATAAGTAGACTCTCCTCTTCCCTTCCTCCTTCACATGGTACGATTGGCCCTTACAAAGGAACCAGCTGGTATTATCCAACTCCCTGTCATCCAGCAGTGACCACTCCATTGCTTGTAGATCCAGCTTAAAGAACTTGAAAGCACTCCCTGTTTTACAAGGATGCAATATGGCCACGACTTGCTCATTGGACGCAACAAGAAAATGAGAATCTTGTTTACTCCAATCAGGACAAGATGACACTGTTCTCCAAATCATATCAGTGATGCTGAAGGACAAGATTTGCCCATGAAAATCGACGCACACAGCCTGTTTCCCCAGCAACACCACATCAACGATCAAAGCACTCTGGACCTTGTACATTGCTTCTGACATTTCTGGATCACTAATATGCTTATAGATGCTCCAGTACACATCTCCAGGACAGGCAATATGGGCAGTTGGAACAGCACTCATGATCTCAATGAATGCAACCACTAGAGGCATTCCATGAGAACCAACATAGAAAACAAAGAACCCCTCATTAGGAGAACGAAGTACCGGTAGGTCCAAGTGCGTGCCGGTGCTAGGATGAACAAGGAACACGATCTGATCTTGGAAGGACAACGGCTTGTGCTGCGCCATTAGGAGCCACCCACCATTCTCAAATTCACAGAAAGCATCTGGAAACACCGTACTGGTTACCCCATGGATCTTTCGGCTTGAAACATCAAACAGCAGTCGCTTCTTGCTGTTCAATTCCACAGCGAAAAGGGCCAAGGGTACCATCAACTCTTTGGAACAGTTATTCTTCTCTGTACCATTTGTTTCCATGGCTCAACCTGGCACAAAAACACCTGCAAAGAAGCAAAGTGTATGGATTAGAAGACCAGCTCATTGTTCATAAGATATGGCAGTAAACCCCTATATATTCAAGTCTGATGGATTAGGAACATGTACTTTTTTTTCTTTTTCTTTTTCCAGATACCAAACTAGCAGAAGTGTCTCACCCCCATCTAGTGCCAAGCGTGCCATCTGAAACCTGAACAGAACCGCTCATACTACTAGATTTCTTCCTAGTGTGACTTTGGGTGTCTCTAGTTTGTGACTTTTGAGTGCTCGATGGCACACTGCTTCCACTACGTGCTTGCATCCAAGAACCTAAACATCACAAAGCGCTGGCACGCAGGGCGGGGTGTGGCGGTGGACTGGTGGTTCACCCTGAACACCCCGCCCGTGATCATGGTTGATTCGACTGTTTGTTCACCACGCACACGCAGCAAAAATAAAAAAATAAAATAAAATGGAGCCAACGATCCAGTCAGGCTAGCTAGGGCTTCCATACCTGAATACCTGCACTGTGTGAAGCGAGGAATCGCGCGCGGTGGACTCCGCGGTGGTGGAGGAGGAGGACTGCGAGCTGTTGGCTCCGGCGGAAGGAGGGGCGCGGCGGCCTTCGTCGGCGCCGGCGAAGAGGTGGGGATTCGATTTTGTTTTGGGACGAAGGGTATCCGTATAAAAAGACCTTTTACCCTAACAAAAAAAAAGGACTCGTCTACAGTTCGGATTCGGAAATATATTAAGAGAATTATGTAGTGGGCTCGCAAATTCGTGATAGATTCGGAGACGAGGCCCAACAAACTTGGGAGCCCATCTAGTGGGGAGAAGGCCGCCCAGCAATACAGGGGCCTTCTGGACATGGGCCGATCTTTAGCTATGTTGGCTTCAAAGATCGGAATAAGTTCACTTAGGGTCCCTCTATTTGTCGCCCAGTCCGATTTTCGTCCCTTGACCACGAAACCGGGTACAATCTGTCCCCCAACATACGAAAACTGGACAAAAAAAAGGTCCCTCGGCGGTTTTGATAGCGGTTTTGGCTGATATGGCGCCTACGTGGCTAATTTGACCCGGCCTTCATCTGACACTTCGATCCAAAATAATAATAAAGTCCGTGGGACCCACATGTCACTTTCACACAAAATAATAATTAAAAATGGTGGGACCCACATGGGCCCCACATGTCATTCTCACCCCTCATCTTCTTCCTCCTCCCTCTCCATCTCCCCTCTCTCCATCTCTCTCCCCTCCTCTCTCCAGCCTCCAGGTGCCATGGCCCACGGGGTCACGGGGAGGTCCAGCGGTGGCGGCCGGCGACGCAACAGCCTCCCGCCCCGACGAGCTCCACCTACTCCCCCCCGATCGGCGTTGCTGTTGGGATGGAAGTTGCGCATGGCGGCCTTGTACGCCGAAGTCAGCCTTCCACTTGAGGAGCACGCCGTCCTCGATGCCGAGCTCGCCGGTGGGCAGCTCGATGTGGAGGCGGTGCAAACCTCAGACGGCGAGTGGTGTGAGACGTCCACGGCGGCAGGAGTGGATGGCGTCGAAGTCGGCGCCGTCCATGCTCACCAGCCTCATCGCCGGGATCCCTAGCTTCTCGTGGAGGTACGCCATGCCTCACACCACGCCGACGGCGATCCTCATCCTCGCCGGCCAATCCAGCACCACCCTGTCCGGGCGCTGGTCACCTGAACCAACAAACAAACACATCGTAATTAGCAAACTATAATCGAGATTAGTAGTTGATTAAGAACTACTAGTATTTGCTGTGATTATTATTACCGTGGAGGACGTAGAGGAGGCTGCCACGTGGCATGAACTCGGAGACGATGAGCTTTTCTCCCCTGCGGTAATGGTAGCCGACGGGGGAGAGGACGTTGGGGTGGCGGAGGTCGCCGAGCATCTGGATGTGCTCCTCGAACTCGACGCGATTCATGTCGCGCATCCGCTTCACGGCGACGGTGACGCCGTTGCGCATGGTGACCTTGTACGCCGACCCGAGCTCCCCACCCTTGCGTCCTTCCATCCCAACAGCAACGCCGATCGCGGTGGGGGGAGTAGGTGGAGCTCGTCGGGGTGGGCGGCCGCCACCGCCGGACCTCCCCGTGACCCCGTGGGTCATGGCGCCTAGAGGCTGGAGAGAGGAGAGGAGACAGATGGAGAGGGAGGAAGAAGATGATGGGGTGAATATGGCATGTGGGACCCACGTGGGTCCCACCATTTTTTATTATTTTGTGTGTGAAGATGACATATGGGTCCCACGGTCTTTATTATTTTTCCATATCGAATTGTCACGTAAGCGTCACGTCAGTGCCATGTCAGATAAAAACCGGGTCAAATTAGCCACGTAGGCGCCACGTCAACCAAAACCGCTATCAAAACCGCCGAGGGACCTCGTTTGCCCGGTTTTCGTAAGTTGGGGGACGGGTCGTACCTGGTTTTGCGGTCAAGGGATGAAAAATTGGACTGGGCGACAAATAGAGAGACCCAAAGTGAACTTATTCCTCAAAGATCAGGCCTGCAAGGGGGCCCAAATAGTTATTTTTGTTCTGTTTTATTTTTGATTGAGATGCAGAGAGTTAAACATAATTTTTTTATCGCGAAATCTATTTCAAGAGCGCTCTCGGTTTAGCTCTATAGCGTGACGCATCTCAGAGCTGTCTAACTGTGCACGTCGTCATGATGTCCATCCACGTGGGTGTCTTTTCCTTTCAAATAAAGTTCACGTGGGTGTATTTTTCCTATTCAAATAAAGTTTCATCTCAAATTACTTATCCGATCTACAATCCGATTACACCATTGTGTTCGTTATAATTAGATCTTCACAACAAGATCTTACATGATTATGTTACGATGAAAAAATATTTATATTTGTAAATTACTTTTATTATATACATAAGTTACTTTTATCATATATATATATATATATATATATATATATATATATATATATATATATATATATATATATATATATATATATATATATATATAAGTTACATTTAGATTTGACTAAATTAATTCTTAGACATATAAAAGTAAATTCAATAAAGTCTAAAAGTAATTTACATATATTCTAAAAGTAACTTAAAACAAAACGGAAGTAACTTTGTCACGACATTAGAAGTAAATTCGTTGTAGGGATAAAATATGACTTTTTAGTTAATTCCATAATTTGTGCTGATTAATTTAATTTCTAGATAGAGTCATATTTTTATCTCTACAACGGATTTACTTCAAATGACATGCCAAAGTTACATTCGTTTTGTTCTAAGTTACTTCTATAATATATATATAAATTACTTTTAGACTTACAGAATTTACTTTTATAATTTAAAAAGTAACTTAATGAAATCTAAAAGTAATTTAGACATATCATAAAAGTAATTTGTAATTTTTCATCAAAATATAATTATGTGAGATCTTGTTGTAAATATTTAATTGCAATGAACACAACGGTGTAATCGGATTATAAATCGGATAAGTAATTTAAGAGAAACTTCTCTAAGAAAGAAAAAAAATACATAGATATTGAGTGTACTAGTAGCTTTTTTTTTTAAAGAAGTGTGTCTCTCTTTAGTACTATCCAGCTAGCACTCTCGGTGTAGTCGCGTCCTTTTCTTATTATTAATGAATGTGTAATAATAGTCAGCAGTCGTGAGATATTTTTCTCTTGTTAAGAAAACGAAAGACACAATAGTGTGAGAGGGATGTAATCATGTAGTTGGAAAAAAATTAGAGAAGAACAAGAGAGGTGAGATGAGGTGAGGTAGTATAATATAGGGTAAGTGATTTTGACATTCTAATTTGTTTCATGATATATGGGGTTTTATAATCTCGAGACATATTTTTATTTCTTATCTATTAATTTGTGTACTAGTTTATTTTCCCATATGTTAACTATTTCCTATTTTATCCCTCGACCTATTACTCCTCTCGTCCCAATATATACCAATCTACTATGGATCCGACTATGAATATAAACATACCATATCATGAATCTAATCACAGGTATGTCTAGATTCATAAATCTAGGATAAGTCTGGGTCTAATCTCGTCCTAAATTGCTACATAGTGAAATGAAGGGAATATCTTTTTTTTATGCCCCAAGTTATTTTAGTACTTTATTAATTTATGTAAAAATTGGTACTCCATCATCCCATGTTAAGTGTAGTTATTAGTTTCTGTGTTTAATATGGTATTATTATTATTATTATTATTATTATTATTATTATTATTGAATGATAAAATATGAATAGTACTTTATGTACGACTTATTTTTTTAAATTTTTTAAATAAAATAGACAATCAAATGTTAAGCATAGTAATCTATAACTGAATTTAAAATAAAACGGGGAGTACGTATTATTGGGGAGAGAGATAGAGAGAGACAGGGGGAGTGGACTGTTATGAGAGGCGAATAGTCGGAGTGGTGGCAGTTGAAGCAAGCGTCCCTCCAAAACGAGAGCAAAAAGGCGCAACCACCAACGCTACGGGATCCCATCCATTTTTCTTCCCTTTCCGATCCAAAAGCTTCCTTCCCTTCCGCCACCACACCATGCCACCCGCCGGAGACGCCGCCCACGCGCCGCCGCCGCCGCACCGCCGCCTCGTCTTCGCCTTCTACCTCACCGGCCACGGCTTCGGCCACGCCACCCGCGCCATCGAGGTACTCCGTTTGCTGCTGCTGCGCTTCGTGTTCACTGGAGCAGTTCAGTAGCGTTCGCTTCCCATCGCAGGTGGTGCGGCACCTGATCGCGGCGGGGCACGAGGTGCACGTGGCCACGGCGGTGCCGGAGTTCGTCTTCACCGCCGAGCTGCCGCGCTCCCCGTCCTCCCAGGGCCTCCTCCACATCCGCAGGGCCATCCTCGACTGCGGCGCCGTCCAGACCGACGCCCTCACCGTCGACCCCCTCGCCTCCCTCCTCAAGGTTTTCACCCACGCCCTCCTCGCTTTCCACGCTGCTGCTTCTCTCTTCATTTTCCACCTATTTTTGCCTGAATTGCTGTGGAATGCAGTATCATGAGACGGCCGTGGTGCCCCGCGAGTCGATTTTGAGGACCGAGGCGGAGTGGCTCACCTCCATCAACGCAGACCTAGTGGTACTACTACTTCTGGATTGCTCTTGTCTCATTGCGATGCATTTTGCTATTTTTAGGAGGGGGATGTTACTTGTTAAGAGTGAAATTTACTTGGACTGAAGTGAATGTGGGTGCTGTTGTTGCTTTTGGGGCCTGCAGATCTCGGATGTTGTTCCTGTGGCCTGCAGGGTGGCTGCAGATGTTGGTATCCCCTCGGTCTGCATTGGGAATTTTAGGTGGGGTTATGTCTCTTCCCCGCTTTACTTCATCTGTTTTGAATGAATCAGTTGGCACATCACAACTTATCTCTACCTCATGTTCAGTTCCATGTCTTGCCAAACTTTAGAATGCCAAATAGAATTGCATATCATAGTATAAGGATGCATACTTTAGCATTGCGGAATCAAGCAACACTGATAATACGCTATTGTTTCACTATATGTGCAATCTGCAGTTGGGACTACATATATGCAGAATATATTGTGGCATCTGGCGATCATCACCGTTCTATTGTTTGGCAGGTTTGTTTTTTTCCCACATCAGCTCATTACCCTTTCCTGTTGAGAGTGGTCAAATTCTGGCCTTTAGGTTATCTGCACTATTGTCTCCTTTAGCAATCTCCCTTTTCCATGTGCAGATACGATTACCTGCTCAATATCCAACTATCTACTCAATATTTTGCAGATAGCGGAGGATTATTCTCATTGTGATATCTTACTTCGACTACCTGGATACTGCCCTAGTATGTTCATTTGTGTTTTTCCTATTCTTTCTTTAAAATGTTCATATTTCGAACGGACAAAATTGTCAGTATTTCATTTCTCAGTTTTAATTTTTTTAAAAAATGAGTTTTCCTTAAATCCATAGTGCCGGCTTTCCGTGATGTCACTGATGTGCCTCTTGTGGTAAGAGGGCTACGCAAATCTAGATCAGAGGTTTGTGTGATTCTACTGATGAATGATGCTCCATGGGCTTGAACAACATTCTGCTTTCTTAATTTACAGTTCCCTTTTTTGATCTATTAGGTGAGGAAGGAACTTGGAATAGCAGAAAATGCGAAGGTGGTGGTTTTTAATTTTGGGGGACAGGTGGGCGTTCCCTATGGTTAAATTTCATAAGCTTAGGTGATATGTTTCTGTTTTCCCCCTTTGATATTGTTTTATATAACTCTGTGTTTTAAATTATCCTGAAATAAATCTTGTGCTTTTTTTTTGAATCTATGTTGCCTTTAGCTAGTATCTAGATATATCATCGCGTGATGTTCCCGCAACAGAAAAAAAAAACCATGATTGCACTGTAGTACTGTTTTAACAGCATGTTTCATATTATATGCTTTGTTGAAAGCTCCCAATCTTGACTTCATTACTGAATGCTCCTATGTTTTTATTTGAGTTAAAGAAGTATGATCACAAATAAAACGAAATTATTAATGTACTATTGTCCCCAGCCAGCAGGATGGAACCTGAAGCAAGAATGGCTGCCTGATGGCTGGATCTGTTTGGTATAGATTTTTATACTGGATTTCTATCCTTTAAATAAGTAAAGCATCTGCCCGGTGTGGTTGTCTAAAACTTAGCACTGTCTTCATGAAAGGTCTGCGGTGCATCTGATTCTCAAGAGGTTCCTCCAAACTTCATTAAGCTTGCAAAAGATGCTTACACACCTGATGCTATGGCAGCATCTGACTGCATGCTTGGTAAAACATGATATATTCATTTTTTAATACTAGTCCATATTTTCTATATTTTGCTATGCACTGCTTACTCTCACTACCCTATAGGGAAAATTGGATATGGAACTGCAAGTGAGGCTTTGGCCTACAAGCTGCCATTTATCTTTGTCCGCAGAGATTATTTTAATGAAGAGCCATTTTTGCGGAATTTACTTGAGGTTGAATCATTTCTAATCATCAAGTTATGCTAGGAATAACTTATGTACAGCTATGCTAAAAATGCCGCCATGTCCCATTCTATTTCAGCACTACCAGAGC